TGCATGCGAACCGGCTGCATTTTCCTGATCCATGTCGTGACTCCCATCAGAACTGCATTGTAGGCATTGTATTGCAAATGAAACACCGCAGTAGTCTTACACACACTTGCCTGTGTGTTTTCCCCCTTCTGTCTTCAGTCTGTGAGTCGAGACATGCCCTGGGACAGTTAGGGCTGCTGACGACGTGTAAGCTTCCTCCCCCTTCTCCTTTAGGTAAACCAAACCAGACGCACCCATGGGTGGATAAGCACACCCTCCTGTCCTCCACCTCTCAAGCCACTCAAAAGATCAGATTCTGCACATTAGTATGCACAAATACACTTGCATGGTGGTGACGAATGAATGTCAGGTTTGGCAGAGTGACTGTGTATGTGACTTATCACTGGGCTTGATTACTAATATGTGGGTCCTTTCACTTTATCAGCCAGGAACTGTATTGTATGAGGGGGTTACTTACACAGTGCTAAACAATAAAGTCCCAAACCTAATAAAAAGCTGTTTGTCAAACAAGATGCTCCTGAATTCTTAATAATCAGCACTGTTAGGCAGGTAAATGATTAAAATGACAAGAACAACATGGACAAAACTTTTCCTTCATCTTCACTTTCTCAATAAAATCAAAAAGTAATTTTGCTTGAATATCTTTAAATTTGTTAACATGAGAGTTTTTGTCTTAGTAATAGTTTAATATTCACATTAAAATAATACTAGACGTGTCTGCATCTAGTGGACTCAATATTTTGTTGTTCTTGCTGGTTGGTTAAACACATTTTACTAATGCATCAGTTCCCAGTTCAAAGATGCGTTTGGCGACTAACCAGCACAATCTCTATGAAGGGAAGTTGTGAATGAATAAGGGAGGAAGTAAAGAGGTCACAGCCTTGCTAACTGCCTCAGTGCTTTGATGTGAAGCTGCTTAGCTTGAAAAATGCTTTTTCAGTTTGAGTGACTTTATGACAAAGGTAAATGTAAATCAAATATAAAACGTCACAATGGTCATTTTATTTATTGCACATTTTGTTATACTTTTAATTCAATGTACACAAAGTAAAAACTTAAAAAGCAACATATGATTTACAGTGAAAAGAGCAAAAATAAAATGCAAGTTAACAGTGAGAACAAAGAGGTTTGGAGTCTGCTTTTGAATATGTGCAATTAGCTGAACTTATATATGTAAAATGGAGAAACTTGGAGGTGAAGGAAAAGTGTTGACTTAAAACAGTTGAGTTAAACCCATTTTATGCGACCTTTTATCAGTTTTGGGACTCCATAGCACACATGCTAAAGAAGGGTTTGCTATCAGTTGTAGTGTGGTGTGTTAACACTCTGAGAGGGATAACTCACTGGGTGACATCAGGTTTACACTGGGAGAAACACTGCTTGCTCAGAAACAGCACACGTGTCCAGAGTTGTGTTCGTCATAAACTTATTTAGCGTCTGCTTTTTCTCTCTTCATCCCACCAGAGTCTGAAGGAAGGGCTGACAGCGGAGCAGAGACTCCACCTGTTTGAAAATAAAGACACTAAGGAGTTCTGACAGCGACACGTCACGTCCCCCTACCTTGCTGCATGTTTAGAAGCCCACTATATTTTAGCTCTGTAATGACTTATTTAGTAACAACGACACACTGGTCACCAAACACAGATCATTTATTATTAAAAACATGCTATGAAGTTTGAATTTCATGTTTAGTTTGCATTCCATGCACTTCAGTTAACTGTGACTTTTTTGTATTTTTTTTCCTTACTGTAAATACTGTTTTTAAATGAGCATTTTTCATGCATACACTAGAACTATGACTGTGTAAGCTACTGTTTTAACTCTCTAGACTGTTGCTAGCCAAAAGCATAAATGTGATGTTAAATGGCTAAACTACAACTACATAATGACGAGTAATACTTGCATAACAAAACCGTAGGAATGAGTCTGGCGTTCAGTCTGCACGTTAACGCTCCTCCTCTCCGTTATCATTCCAGCACAGATGGAAGTGTTGCTCAGTAAACAAGCTATAGAACAAAAGTGCTTGTCTGCATTAGAAAAAAAAAGTGCTCACCCATGTTGCTGCTTCGTGTTACTTTGAAATTAACATCAAAGATGTTTCTGCAGTCTTGGGGGAAAGAAATCAGATAAAATCAGTGCGCGACAGCTGAATGCATCTGGACAAGATTCACTGACTATAATTTAAATATATATGAAAGTTTATATAGATTTTTTTTTTCTCTCACTGCAATCATTGGTCCAACTGTATAGGAGTTGCTGGAGTTGGTTTATGTTTGTAGTCTTGTTCAGTGGCAGTCCCTTTGTATTTATTTAAGTGGTTGGGATTTTTCTTTCACATTCCCATTCCTCTGTACTCTATTATTGTAAATATAAAGCAAATATACACCAACTGACTACAGGTTTATTAGCAATAAATATTTTTGCACCCTTTTCTGTGTGTTTTAAAGTTTTGTTCCAACTTTCAAACCACATTTGAACTCGAGGTGTGTTTTTATGGGGATAAATATTCTCAACAAACACTGAACGCGACTTATTTTATTGTAATGCTTAAAGTCAAAGAGGGTCGGGCAATGCACAAGCAAATAAAACTGTTTAAAACTGACACCCACCCCCATTAAGAATATCTGGTAAATACAAAGCTGTACATATCTTCTGGCTACTACAATCGCAGTGGTGGTAGGATCATGGTAAGAAGTCGCTTCTCTACAGCAAAAATGAGTCGCAACGAAGGACTGAAGTTCACCTTTCAGCAAGACACCACATCCCAGATTTGGATATGGATTTCTCTCCTAATATTAGGTATTTGCTGATTTGTATGTATGACTCCAGAGACATGAAAATGAAATGAAAAAGATGTGAGAAACACTACAACCATTTAATTAGTGCTAATGACGCAGTTTTTCCATGAGAAGGCATGCTGCAACATCCCCTGTAACATGTTTTGAATGAAACAAACGCAACAACCAGTTGATTTAAGCAGAATGTAAATGAGAAAATAAACAACTCCACACATAACAAATATTAGGGAATCTATTTTTTGGAATAAAAGTGTCTGCTAACATTTTCAGTATCATTATTCATCTTAAAAACTATTCACAGAAACCAAAACCCTTTTTTTTTTTTTTGTACCAAACTCTAAACATATTTCATTCTGAAAAGTTGACCAATGAGTCATGAGTGGAAGTGCAAAAAAATTACAGTAGAGGAACTATTTTTTGTACTTCCACACTGGCTTCATTTCTCAGCTCCAAAGGTTGTCCCTTGGTGTCAAAGGGTCTGGCTAAAGTCATACGCAGTAATTGCTGTGACATTCCTTTGAGGCTGGAGTGAAAAAGTTTGGCGACAATGAGCATATTCTATTACTGACCATGGTTTAACAAATGAACGTAATTTATTTAGTATAACCCAAAATGAGACTTATAATTAGATGTGTTGAGATGACTGTTGTGATCTGGCCTTGTATAAATAAAATGGAATTGAATAAACCCAGGAACATGTTTACAAAGGCCTGTTTTAAATTTTAAATCGACCTTCTTCATAATGGTCATCAGCTGTTTATTGTGCTTTAGCAAAATAATTCATTAGAAAGTAGTATATGAACTAATTTTGTTACTTACCTATGAACAGTCCTGTAGTTTTCGTGTCTCTGCTGCATTAACAGGTTGCTTTGAGGCCATTAAAAATAACTCAGATCTAAGGCACTTGTGCTTGGCTTCACTGTTCAGTTGCAGAAATTATTTTCAACTACAGAAAACCTGAGCAAACTAAGAGAGCATTTTAATACCAGCATTCCAGCCTGCACTCCTCTGGACTAATTACATGCACAGAAACAGGTTCAAAGTTCAAAGTGTAATGTTATGATGAAGTAGTACATGCCATACTGCATATGTTTTGCATACTGCATAGAACAGTACATACTTTGTGAAGGCAACAACCAGTCATACCTACTGCCACTTAGGATCACCAATTAACCGAACCTCATGCATGTCTTTGAACTGTAGGAGGAAGTACCCAGACAGAACATGCAAACTCCACACACCGTCTTGCTGTACGGTCGCACATTACACTGTAACAAATGTTATTCACATCACCAAGTGATTTTAATGTAACTTTTGTTGTACAGTATGCATTATGTGCATGTTAGTGGTATACTAATTAGTGGAATACTTCCTTATCTCAGTCTTACCACTGTGATATTGAACCTAAAGTGTGTTACCACTTTGGATTTCATCATTATTTATTATTCATCTCTGGCTCTGTTTTGTTCTGTCTCTGTCACCTCATTTCCAATGGCTCACAGCTTGGCACGGGTCCCCTCCCTGAGCCTCTTCTGTCAGAGGTTACTTCCTGTTAAACGGGAGTTTTTCCTTCCCACCTTCGCCAAGTGCTTGCTCATATGGGGTCGTGTGATTGTTGGGATTTTCTCTGTATTATTGTTATTATTAGTAGCAGTAGTAATTGTAGTAGTAATATAATGAAACTGAACTATTATTAGTAGTAGTAGTAGTTGTTGTTGTTGACCTTTCTTTAATACTGCTATCAGTAGCAACGAAAGATCATAAAACACTCAACTGTAAGGCACTGATTAGTACTTTCTATTAGATCACACCACTCGTCTCCCATAATGCCTTTCTGTTCCTTAGCCGAGTGACAACTGTTTCATTGCTCGGTTTGACTTGTCAGGGCACCGATATCAGATGACGGCAATGCTGAATAAAAAGAAAACACAAAAAACTTTTCATCATCAGTGACTAGCAGCAGAACGTTGACCTTGAAGTAGGCTAGCCTACTTCAAGGTCAACGTCTGAAGCTTTGACAGCTTGCACGCAACCGCTGGATAACTGGCAAATTAATTTATCTGGAATAGATACTGAGTTTTATTTCGCAAAACCTTTTTTGTATTTGGACTTTGCTTTTTATTGACATTTATATACATATATGGCACTAAACCTACTGGTAATTACTTTATTGTGAAAGGAGTGCCCGGAAGCCTTAGATTATGTACAACTTGACAGTGCTGCTATCAGAGTAGTGTGTTCCTGGAAAGTGTGTGGATCTTTATTTAATTTAGGGCTTTCTCTCTTTGTAATTTTTTATTGGGGTTCATTAGAATAGATGTGTTGCTGAAGGAGATGTGGGGCGGGAGGGATTCTTAACTGGACGTTTAAAAAAGCTGCGATTTCTCCCGTCCGGGTAAGTTTTGATCAGCAGCAGAACAGCACAGCGCATTACCTCCGCTCTGTCTTTGTTTCATCCAGCCGGGCCTTGCCCCGATGCTTGCCGTTCTCTTTAATTGAGAGAACGTCTCGCCAAACTCCATGAAAAGTAACCCGTAATATGATAATATCTTGGTTTACGTGTTGTTTGGACCTCTACTAGCGAACAGGATGTATTTCTCTAAATCTTTAAGATCTACTCTTCAATTCGGAACTCATTTAATAAAGCAAAGACCACAATTTTAAACAAAATAAAACATTTTTAAATCTCATTGGCTGCTGTTTTCACACTAAAGTTAGTAAGAGCCGCAGTAGGATGTAACCCACGGTGTCTGTCACTGAGCTATAAAAGTTGTCATTTTATCGGAATAATCGCACTTTGCGGGCAGTGGACCTCGCCGAAATGAACTTTGGCTGTTGTCGATAAGTAGAAGTTGATAAATCACGTTTTGTATGATACGATTTCCAGTCTTCAACGAAAAAGCACTTAAAGTTCTCAAATCTTTAATGCAGTTAGAGAATGTTACCGGAGCCGGGCCTAGCTAGCGTTAGCTGTGGCTAAGCTAACGTGGTTAGCAAGCTCGACCTGTTAGTTCTAGTAGTTAAAAAGTCAGTCCAGTGTTCGGACAGAAATTATTGGGTAAACGTAACAACTTTTTATTCAGAACATTTAATACTATTAAGACAATTTGGAAATAAGCCAAAGCGTAAATTGTCAGTTAACCCTTGGCATATTCTCCAGCGTTAATGAAAATGAAGCACACGTCAGTTTCCAAGCTAATTTTAATAGCGTGACTTCATTTGTACGGGGTTGTGGTTCAGTTCTTTGCTTCAAATGAAATAAGCTTACTTTTGAGTGTGTTGAATAACAGTATAAAAAAGTGTCAACTCAATGTAATGGTAAAAAGTAAAACTGTGATTTGGAGCTTTTGGGGGGAAAGAGCATTTGGTCTTAGGAAAGCCACTCTGGTTATCCTGTGTAGAGGTGAAATAAACCCAGAAACTGATCTCTGTATGCCACCATTTATAAGCTAACATGAATATCTTCTTCATTTTTCTACTGCAGTTGTTATGGAGCAGCCACCAGGGAGCATAGATGATCTACAGCCTCAAGACCTCTCTACTTCCTGCATCCCCACTGTGATCGACCTGACCAGGAAAGGGGAAGAATGTGTCCTCAACTCCACGACGGCTTTTGATGGCTTGTCGATGGTCAAGAGCCCCGGCTGGTTCCCAAACTCTGGGAACAGCAACCCTGGATTACAGGGATTCTCAGAGACCAGCTCCTCAGACATCGCACACCAATCAGGGGATCAAATTCAGCCAGACAATGCCTTCTCGCGCACTACAGTCACCCTTTCATACGTGAGCCGGTCTCACGTCTTCTCTTTTCAAGACACCCTATCTCAACACTCGCCTCTGTACAGTGTGTCGCCTATCAGCAAGTTCTCCCTCCACCCTCCTTGTGACACAGATAAAGGGCTCGGGGAGACCGGCTATGCAGTGAGCCAGCATTACTTGGCGCAGGTTGAGGGGCCCGAGGACCTCGCCACACAGACGGAACTTTTTCAGTCATTGTCTCAGGCTCAAGGGGGACTGGAGAACAATGTGGACAGAACACAGGACTCTCATGAGTGTAACAGTGGAGTCACTTTCAGTGACGTGGATGTTGAAAAGCCGCTGCAAGGCAAAGAGGATCACAGCCTTGCTGGTGATGACAGCCCACATCTGGATAACTGTTCAGGAGCATGTGCCGAATCCTCTCCAGAGACTGTCACCCCTGTCACAGAGAAGGACGAGGGGAAAGCAGGCTCTGAGGTGCTCTTTCTCATGTCTAAGACACCAGAGCAGGTGGTTGCCTCAGACAGTGCGGGTGCCAGAGACCTTTGTTCACTGAGCAGGGAGTATATAAGTCCTCTGGAGGACCCCGTTTCCCCCTCTGCTACCTCACTGGACGATGTGGAAGATGTATTTGTCCTGCCTCAGGCCTCAAGCTCACCCAGCGGCGACAACTCTTATCTTGAGACGACTGAGGGGGTCTCGTGTGATAGCTTGAATACAGAAGGGGCCATTCAGCCAAGCTCTGGCATCAGCGATGGCACCACAAGGTTGGATTCAAGTGATGAAAATAAACAGCCGGGCAGTAGACGAAAGGCTGCGCTGGAGCCTTTGATCGACTTGACAGATGATGTTTGTGCAGCGGAAGTTCCTGAAAACAATCACAAGACTGTTATTCCTCACATGAACGGGAATGCAAAGGCACTAGAGAGAAGTTTGAAAGAAAAGAAGCTGCCAATACGCTCCAGCAGAGGGACACGGCTAGAGGCCATAGTTATGAATATAAATTCAAGCAGGTATAAAGTATCAGGATGCATACGCACTAGTAACAAAGTTAATGCTTCCCAGTCAACATCTAGCGATTCCACTAAATCTATTTCTAAGAAGAAAGACTCTGTGTTAGCAGGTAAAAGGAGAAGCCGAGTAAAAGTGTCTGCCTCAGCGAAACCAGCGAAACAGAAAGCAGCAACTCCTCTGAAAAGAGGCAAATCAAATAACCTGAATACTGACAGCTGCAAAGACTCTACCTCGGATTCAGAAATGATCGGTAATTCTAAAAAGTCGCGGCGCAGCGCACCTCCAAAAAGCCCCCGGTCTGCTGCGCGGAGAGAGAGTTCAAAGACTGAACCGATGAATGTTTCCCAACCTGTGCACCCACCCCAAACGAGCCCTGTGAAGTCAAAGAGGAAAACCTCCCCGCAGTCAAGTCCTCAGTTTGCTCTACATAATAACTCAAAGGAGGAGCCTGAACTGCTTCCTCAGCCAGACCCCTCAGTGGAAATCCAGGTGGCAAGATTTTCTCCACCATCAAAATCTCCAAAGAAAAACCAAGGCAAAGCCAACAGCAGATCTCCTGCTAGCAAAGCGTCGCCCACTGCCAAGACGAAGGCTGCTCGCACTCCCAAAAGAAGACGAAAGAAACATAAACCGGGTCAGTCTTCGTCCATGTTTTCCCCAAAAGAGCCTGAGATCAAGCTCAAGTATGTCAACTACAAGGAGGATAAAAGGGATATGAGGCCAGACAGTTTCTCTCCGTTTATCCACGTGGAGCGTCAGCAGTCCTCTCCGTCGCTGTGTACTGTCGTCAATTACCCAGAGGAGGTAAGGGCGCAGCACAAGAAGGGCTCGCAGCAGCAGCAGGCTAATACCAGCGGCTTCATTTCTGCAGTCGTACCCAGCACTTCCTGTCTGCAGCTGGGCCGGGTGTCCACTCACGGTCAGGATCAGCGCCCTCTTATCTGCTGCCTGTGTGGACAGTCAGCCAACGCCATGGACTTGGGGGACCTTCACGGCCCTTACTTCCCTGAAGGTTACCAGCCGAGCACCAAAAAACCAGCCAGCACTTTAGGCCTCAAAGAGGATGACTACAGTGATTCGGACTCTTCATCTTGCAGCATGAGAGGAAGGGGGAGGAAGTGTGCCGCTGTGCCCGCTGTGCGGGCCCTGAGGCCAGGAGCTCAGCTGAAGAAGAGGGGCCTAATGGAGAACCACCGATGGAACAACAGCAGCATCAGCACAGGCAGCCCTGCAGCTAAACGAGTGCGGTCAGATGCTAGCTCTGCGAATGTGGAGGACTGGTATAGCCCCCCTGTGTTGCTTCTCCAACCTTGTGAATACTGGCTTCATGAAGACTGCGGCATCTGGTCTGCAGGCGTGTTCCTTGTGAAGGGCAAAGTGTACGGCCTGGAGGAGGCTGTCAAAGTAGGCCAGGAGACGGTAAATCTGCACTTTAAATTTGAAGTGTTGCACAATAGCACATGAACTCATAGCTGACATAATGAAGCTGGAAATGAAAGCAGCATTGTGATGTTAATGTTAATGCAGGTGGCTTGTTTTCTGTGCCTGTAAGAGAGTTATATATTTTAAATGCTTTCAAATCACTGCAAGAGGAAACGTGATTAATTAGCTTATTAGCTCAGTTAGAAAAACACTGGAAATTATTGGTGCAGGGAAAACAACAGTGAGACACTATTTTTGGGGAGATCTCCTTACTTTTTGGCAAAGTTTTAACCATCTACAAAGTAAGATGGATACAGTGCATTCCCTTTTGAGGCCAAAAGTCAAAATTTGCAAAGAGCCAGTCAGGAGTTTTCACCTGGAACACCTCCCTCAACTCAGACTTCCAACTCGGAAACCTGGAGCAGTCTCACTAACTGTAGTCTGTGTAGCCACTGTTGTATGTTTTCTACTGGTTAAAATAGTCATATGCACTGACCTGGTTCTGTCTGTGAACGTGCTGCAGCAGTGTTTTTAAGTACTAAAATCCAAGCATAGTGAGTGTTGTTAGTGATGTATTAGTAATAAATGTATACGCTCCCCCTTGCTGAGGAGCAAATGAAATCCTGATTTTCCAACTTTGCTACCAAGACTTGGTAAACTCGAGAGTGACGCCACTCCCAGTTCCAACATGGGTCCTCCAAGGCCGTTATTCTCAAGGAGAAGAATGGTGCCAGTGGCTTTACAACCATCTAATTACAAGCACTGTGCAGTCAGAGTTAGGTTATAAAGGGCTAAATTAGAACCTATTTGATATAACCAGTTAGAAACCTTGTGAGAAAAGACCAAAATGACTTAAAGGTTCTAGTTTCTGAAACTATCCTTATTCAGCATGTAGTTCAGATGACCTAGTCCAGAATTCCCCCAATGGTTCATTTGCCTCTTTTTAAGATAAGATCATTAAATTAAACATTCATCTCTTTTTAAGTCATTAGTAGAAATCTTGCATAACTTAAGGCCTTCGATATTTATATGATGATATCAAATGTGTGTTTCATAAAACAGTCCCTGCAAAATGTGTCACAGCAAACTTTTGACTGTTGGTTGAGGTCATACAGCTCAAGATAGCCCGAGCTAGCTTGTGTTCATCCATTGTTCTACACATACACTTGAGAGACTGCAGCTGGAGGAGCAGCTAGTACCAGCATGTCCCTGCTGCCACCGGAGTAGGAGTTATGCATAGAAATTAATAGAGGTGATAGTATATTTTAGCTTGAGCATGCCTCGGGGACTTTTAGTTTGATGCCTGATACGACTGAAGATCAACATTGGCATCTTAAAGTCAAAGTGTCTCCTGTATGAAGGGTACACCAACGCAGCGTTCTTTCAGTTTCTCCTAAGGTGATAAGGTGTTAACCATCTTAAACCATCATGAGTCAGACCGGTATCAGATTGGTGGTAAATGCAGCCTTTGGGTTTCGCTTTATTTTGAAAGACTGTTAAAGAGCCTCACTGTTTACATCAGCCATTGTACATTATGACGACTGCTGCTGAAGGCAGTGTTTTAATTAAAACTATATAGTAGTTACCTTAGTGCTATATATCCTGTCCCATGTAGTAAAAGTGGAAATCACAGCTTGCAGAAGTGTGCACGATGTCTTCTCTTAACCTCATCTGCTGTTTTTTCAGACGTGTTCAGCGTGCCATGACCCAGGTGCTACGCTTGGCTGTTTCTTCAAAGGCTGCCCCAACAAGTACCACTACAGGTGTGCTCTGGAGTCAGGTACGCAGCAGAGCAAAAACTCTTATCATGCCAGTCTTGTGCAATTTTAAAATTTGCATGCATGCTTAAGTTGTAGACTGTATGTAAAAGATGGACCCGTGTTAATTTTATTGACCAATAATTTTCGTCATAGTTTGAAACTTTTGTCACGAAATGTCTGTGAAGGTTCTCAGTCATCCAGGTCATCGTAGTCTAAGGAGCTTGCAAAGAAAAGCGTCTGGACTTCTTTAAGTTGCTTGAAGACGTTTC